CGGTGGGTTCCACAGCTCCGCTGATATTTTGCTGCAGACATATTAGATTACTTACTGCCTCCGTGGCCGAACGGTTATCATGCCGGACAGCCACGCAGAGGTCCCAGGATCGATTCCCAGGCCGGGAGAAATGTACTTAAGTGATTTCCCGAATCCCGAACACGTCCAGGTCCTAGAAAATATTGTCGTAAGGCAGTCTCCATTTTCTGTCTATGTTCCTCGAAGTTTAGGTAAAAAACTCTACCTATTCCGATCCCTGGTTGTATGTCATAGTTCGTTTCAAGTTATTAGGTTTTCAAGATTGTTACACATTTGAAACGAAACAATTTTTTCGGATGTAAATCGCTACCTACGCCATTTACATCCGAAATTTATTAACATATATTTAACTGCCTACGTGGCCGAAGGGTCACCATGCCGGACTGCCACGCAGCGGTCCCAGGTGCGATTCTCGGGCCGGGAGAAATATTTGTATGGCCTACATTTATTTCTCTCGTGTGTTGGGTGTAATTTGTGTTTGTTTATGTGTGTGTCTAGGTTTCCCTAGTGCGGGGCTATGTTGAGTATGTGCTTTATTATTATTATTATTATTTACTTTAGTCTTCTCAGCTTGTTAACTGATTTGAACCACATTTACGGACCTAAATCAAGTAAATGCAGTATGGCGTGTATCTACGAATATGTGGTGGGTGTGTAATAAGATCCTAGTTCGTCCTCTTCCATCTGCATGAACTTTCTGAGGATGCGGCATGTATTTAAAATCACAGCTTTTTGCAAGGTTATGTACAGGCTTTCTATACTTTAAGGCTATGGAGAAGATGATAACTATTTTGTGACAATGGGACAGCATTAGGGCCTGCGTTATTTTCTTCTTCATGTAGACGCACTCGTGTTTCCTCTTTTAATTAGTCTATTATTTCTTGGGATAAGAATTTATTTCTAATTATAGTTCTTCTCTGATCTGAAATTCTTTGTTCTGACACAGTTATCTCTGGGTATTGTCGTACAAAAAGGTCATGCAATTGTGATCTGTAAGTGGTCATATCGGTCTCTAATTTAGTAATGTAGAAGTAAGTTGGCATAATAAACATATTAACATCCTTGCTCCATCTCATGCGAACTCTTGGTTGGCAAACCTTGGTGGACGAGGGCAGAAAGGTATTTACCTCCCGCGCAACATTCAAGGTCGGGATTAATGCAACTGTATTGAAATTAGTAATGGGAGGTGCCGATGGTATGGGAGGTGACCGTGGTATAGATGGTCTAAAAGGTTCTACAGGAGTGTTTGCCCTGTGTGTCAGTCTACCGCTGTCATTAGTTGTTTCGGTGGTATATCGTTATCGGCGAGAGTCCGCCTGTTTAACTCCTCACCGCTGACGGTTCGCATGCTGAGACACCCAGCGTCAGTTCCAGGTGTGCCCCGGCGATCACCCCCGGGCAGCGGTCCTACACGTTTTTTTTTTAGAACGAGTCTCCTTGTTGAATGGGTTTCCAGAGCCACGTTAGGCACGCTAGTAATGTCTCATTCGTGTGTCCGCTCCCCACGTGATTAGGTAGTCAATCAGGACGTGTGGTTGTTTAGGGGGCTTACTATTATTACTATAGGTACATTTGTTTTTTTTAAAACAAATGAACGTTTTGGGCCCATGGTCACGGCGATTTAAATAGATCCCAAAAATAGTTTTATTTGGCAGTACGTGATTAAAAATTCATAATAAAATTAATTATCATAAAATATATATTAACGGCATCGTGAGTGTTATTGCTGGCAGGGTCCAGGGTACATTTCTTGAATACTGAACCAAATTTCATGTATACACTAAACCCGGTACATACTTGTAAGTTCTAATTAGTAACATTAGTGTGTAAGTTTTTTCTTTGTTATACTAACCAATATGAATGATTCATCCGAAAGAAAGTATTTGAATTAGAATTAGAATTAATGAATTTTAATAAAGAAACTCTTAAATGTTTAATGAACTTAACTCCGCTAACTTAACTCCCAGACCAGAAGGATTTAAGGAAAATGTTTTTTGCAGAGCAGAGCTACTATGGTCTATATTTATAGAATTTTTATATGATGAATAAATAGAATATATATTAAATATTTTTACTGATAATTAAATGTTAGACATTGCGTTGTTTTCACGCAGAATACACTTAAAGTGGTACAAACGTTCAACTTAGTTGCAAAATCTTGAGGGCAAAGATAATTTCGTCATTGACGACAAAATCAGACTCTCTATCTAAGCTGAAATTGAATTGAATTGAATTGCTGACTTAGTTGTCAAGTCATGTGTACGTTTTATTTATGTGACGTATAATTTGCGTTAGAGATTTACTTATATCAGCCTGAATTTAGCCTTCTAACTATACTTCGTTCTATACGTTGTATACATCGTTTTTTTTGGGTTAGAATAAACGTCAACAAAGATCAAATATTGTTTTCTTCAAACAACAAGTTACAGTGAGAGTTAATGACAAATGACATTTATAAATGACACGATAATGCATAGGTCAATACGATAATGTTATTATTTTATAAAAAGTTTCCGCTAATATTTGTAACCTCTGGGGGGCTACTCTCGATCTCCGTCCTACATCCGTCCGAAACAATTACTGTCAAATAAGTATTATTCGACAAAATTAAAAGACAAGTATCCAGTATGAAGCTTCATTCGCATCACGCGTCTTTTCATTTGGTCAAGTATTGCTTATTTGGCAGTAATTGTTTCGGACGGATGTCGGACGGAGATCGAGAGTAGACCCCCTGTTTCCATACGTTTTTATAGTGCAATTTTTGAAACAGATTAAGTATGTAAAGATAGAAAGTTTCTATTTAATCTTTAATGAATAAGTACTGCGAGTAAAACATACGTAGAAATCACATAAATTTAGTGAATATGTTTAAGAATTCCGTTACACGGTATTTTTACTTGCTTTGCTTACAAAATGACAGAATGAAATGGCACCTGATAAAAAGCTCAAAATTTCCTTCTGTCTAATGATAGAAAACCAAGTATATCTATATGTAAACTTTCACGGCAACGTATTTTCGATTCAGCGTTTCTCGTCTTCAGCTTGTGTCAAACTCGTTGCGACAAAAATGTCCGATATGTTAATAATAGTAATTAACATGGTAACATTATTTGTCAAAGTGACATAAATAGCTGTCAGTAGTAAATAAAATGTTACGTTCTTCAAGACAGGCAAAGACGTCTGAGCCATACCGTCAAATATTAGATTTTATAAGTAGCTGCCAGTTTACTATCTCTAATTAAAATCCGACTTTTTTTTTCTTGGCTTTACGAGGTTAGCGTTTCAGTAATTTACAAGATTTTTGACTTATGTTTTTAAAACGGGGACATTTATGGAAAGTATTTCTTTTACATTATTATAAGGATTAATTGGAAATGGGATTACGAAGCTTGAGATAAAGAAAATAGGGATCAGGCCAGGAAATATTCTAAAGCCAAAATTAAAAATATAAAAATATATTAAAGCATTCTATACAACTTGTTTACAAAGCGTTACTTAGGTTTCTCTTTTTACGTAGTTAGTTATACACCTAGTTAATGATAGTTAATAATTAATTACTGTAAAAACAACATATCTGTTTCTTCACTGTACACGCCTGATTTGTTTTAACAATAATAAACCAATTGAAACCTAAAGCACTTATGTATTGGAATTGGAGCGCACTAAAACTAAAAGAATTTGGGGCACGTATTCTGGAGTACAAACCAAATAATTCGATAAATGTTACATTTATTTTGAAATAGAAATCAAAAACTATGTCGGGATTTAATGCTACAAAAAATCAGAGAGAGGAAGGGTTATAGAGAACCTTAAAGAAATACGATATTAGACATTCGACCAGCGTCTAGGGTTTGTATTATCTGCTCTTTTTAGGATCCGTGTTACTTTTTTAACCGAGTATCCGGTTATTACGGATAAACGTATCTTTATTTTTTACAAATAAAACAAAAAAGAATCAAAAATATCGATACTTTTAGACTCATTGGCGAAAAAGGTTCAAACGACGAAAATGAAACTTATAAGTACTGTTTTAATCACTTTTTTTACCTTTGTCGAACTGTGAACTGGTCCACGGTTAAACCACACGGAGGGAAAGTACTTTAAATATTGTAGATAGGATATTTTGCTTCATAGAGATACTATTTTACGGTATTTGCAATGAATTTATCAAATATTCAAAATGTGATCCATCTTCTTGTATGCAAATTGTCAATCTTGTAGCGCGTACTTGAATGACAAAAATCCAAGATAGTAATCCGTTGAGTTCTTGCAGGTTGTTTCGATTTAAAATAAATATTGTAAATAATAAATCTGCAAAAATGTTTAATTACAAAGGGTTGCCCTAGAGTTTCTTACTCAATCTTCTCAGGGGAATCTACCTTTCGAATGAGCAGTAGAGATTGAACAATGTGACGATTTCTAATGTAATTTGCTTATCTATTAAATAGCGATTATTTTGAGTTTCATAGTCATATGCATTATCTAAAATTCATCTATAACATTGACGAAATAAATGACTTTCCTTAACCTTTTCAATATCCTGATAATATGAAAGATAGCGATATAAAACCCGTTAAACTAGGCACGTGTAGATTAATAGATGCTAATTATATTTCTATTCGACTTCCACAGTAGCTAGCTACACGCTTAATTCACTTAGGTATTAGCTTTTATATTAAAAAAACAAGTACGCATTTGTCTGCCATCTCACCTGATGTAAAGTGACGATGAACTCCACGATGGAACATGCACACCTATGTATATAATGCCTATTCACTCTCGCCTTGAAAGTGCCTACTTTATACCGTTCAGGGAACAAATTTGCTGGCAGGAAATTCCACTCCATAGGCGTTCGCTGCGGATATGGAACGGCGTGGATTTTTATTACAATTTGTTTGTATGAATTCTCTAACCCAAATTGCTAAGTTTGTTAGGCAATCAACACACCATTTTGCTTTCAGCCAGGCCAGACTATCGAAAAGGATCTGGCGCCTTCCGGGATGATCACAACCAATATCAAGTTCGGGTGGGTAAAGGGCGTTTTGATGAGATGCCTTCTCAACATTTGGGGGGTTATGCTGTTCCTGAGACTCTCCTGGGTAGTGGGACAGGCTGGGATTGGTAAGTGTCTCCCTTTGCATAGGACGTGCTGAAGTACCTGCTTATAATAATAATTTCGTAACTCCAGTAATTTTCTAAACTTTTTGCAATAATCTTTGCATTTATCGGGTGCTAAATGTATTTTTACAGTACAGATAGAGATGTTAGTACCTGTAGGTGCAGTGGTGTATCTTTTATAGTATAGAAATAGTAACCCATAAATTACCTACTTATAATTAGATCCATTGACCTCTATACATACCAATGTTTAAGATTATGATCATTATCAGTGCATGCCGAGTTCATGGACTTTAGGGTTGATTTTTGCATTTATTGATAAATCTGATCACTTTGGATGCGTAGAACGCTGGCTCTCTATGTGAGAGGTGTATGATTTGCTGTCATTAAGGGGCCTAATGACACAAAAAGCCATTAACTTTCATGTTCCATTAAGAAATCGTTTTATCTAATATTGATTTGTGAAAGTGAAGGACAGTTTTATAATTTTATTGAATTTGAATGACGCATTAAGTTTCTTTCTGTAACACGTTAATTACGATATTTGCACAGCGGAGTCTTTACTGCTGATCCTGACGACATCTGTCGTGACCACAATTACGGCGCTCTCCATGTCTGCCATAAGCACCAACGGCGTAATCAAAGGAGGTACGTATATACACGAAAAGATTGTCACTTTGTTTTTTTGCAGTAGGTTTTGTTATGGAATTATTTGTTCAATCATACACACTGCTTCTCTGTTCTCTCACATTTACCCCATGTAGCTTATCTATTATATAGCTTATTATACATTTGGAACCATCTGCTTCGTCCGCTTTTAAGTTGTCCTTCAAAAATGTTGTCTTGTTATAAAAATATAAGAGGACTATGTTTGGTCTTTATGTATTCCTCTTGTGTTCTTTAGGACGTTCACTGACTTCTCTTTTCATAAGGAACTTAACTTACCGAGTGTGGTGAAGACTGTTGACAGTGTTATCAATTTTGTATTATAGTAACCAGCTGCGCTCAATATGTAGAAAACATTCGGAATTTATTTTAGTACATATAATTATTTTTATACCGGCGTTTTAGTCTACTAATTACATACTCGTATTGTAAGTCTAATGGTGCGAAGTGACGCAAAACAGAGTGGCTGTTTTTTGATGTAGGAGTCCAAGGTCCTTTGCGAGTCGCTGAGTCATGGAAGTTAGTGAAGTCGAAAGGCGAATTTCTGTTACTCCAATCCGACATCCTTTTATTACCGTCATATGTCGGAAGTCTGTAGTTTATACCGACTATTCCGCGAAATCCGTCACCCGATTTCTATGAATTTCGCCGAACCAGCAATAAACGGATGTCGAACACCAGAAATAGCCGGAAAAAAGGCAAATTTTTACAGGTGGTACATACTACATGATATCGCGATCTCTTGGCCCGGAGTTCGGCGGGTCCATCGGTCTGATATTTTCGATGGCGAACGCCGTGGCCTGCGCCATGTACGTCGTCGGCTTCGGCGAGTCGCTCATTACGCTCATTCCCGCAAACGCGTACATGGTTAACAAGGAATGGGTATGTAGTTCAGATTATATCCGTTAAAATCAAGATTGAAACAAGCTGTGTTTTCTTCTTAAGTACCTTACTCCATTGGTACCAGTTAAACATCCTTTTACATAAGTATGCCTAAGCTTATTTATACTGTGATAGTCCATCGATTTGTGAGAAGTGTTTTTCATCTAAGTGACTTATGTGTACTGGCAATGAGTGACATTTTTTGCTTTTTCTCTGTATCTTAAGATACAGCTTGTATATTTAAGGTCCGCGTGGACAGGTATCTTACGAGATTAGCCCGTGTCATTCTCGTCCACGTTTTCGCTTACCTTAATGTAACGTAATCATTTCTTAGACGTCAAAAAAATTCTCTTCTAAAGTCCCTCTTCTAGGTAGAATTCTCTAAGGCTGCTAACAGATTGACTGCATCTTTGCAGTTAATGCGTGAAGTCGTTATCAACTTCATGCTGTCGAGAGTCGAGACCTCGACTGCATGAAGTCGGACCGACTTTATGGAGTCGAGATCGACTGCGTGAAGTCGTTATCAACATCATGTAGTCGAAGTCTCGGCTGCATGAAGTTGGTAACGACTTCACGCATTAACTGCAAACAGCAATCAATCTGTTAGCAGCCTGAGAAGCACTTGAAGAACATTGTATCATAATTTAGTTAACAATTACATTGTTTCAGGACCAAGCAATCTACGGTTGTATAACAATAGTACTGTTAACTGGTATCGTGATTGTCGGCATGGAATGGGAGGCGAAAGCGCAGATCGTCCTGTTAATAATATTACTGGCAGCCATTGCTGACTTCTGCATCGGATCTGTCATCGGGCCCAAAAGTGACATCGAACTTGCGCAGGGATTCGTTGGCTACAATAGTAAGTGTTGTTGCTTACGTACGCCACCTGTTCCGGAGAGTATAGTGGCAGTAGCTATAGATGTGCACTTAGGTATATAAATACAATAGCCTTTTAAAAAATAAACATGAGACAACATATATTTTGGAATGTTTAGAAAGTAAATAGTAAAAAATACACCTTTGATTGTGATATAACCAAAAACTCCATACTAAAAAAAAACGTTCATGCTTTAGGTAAATTAAGTCCCTGAATTCCGATTATGGCTTATTATCAGTGATCGGAATTGACGGAGTTAATTGAGCTAAACTAAAGAATAATGTGTATATTCCCATCTATGAATCCCGAGAATTCTTTCTTGGAACTGATTATGTTTGAATATTTGTATTATTTATTGAAATTTGAGTACACTGACGACTATTTATTATTTCCTACAAAATTTTTGCTAAAAAATATCCTTTCAAAAAATAATATCGTAGTTGTGTACTTTACCTATTTAAAAAATAAACATGAGACAACCTATATTCTGAAATGTTTAGAAAATACACAGTAAAAAATATGCAATAATCATTGACTTACAATTATATGGACGTCGGGTCCTCGCTAAAAAGTGTCCGCACTTGTAAGGCGCTAAAATCGTATACAGAGCGCGACACTCCGCTTTAGTCTTCATTTGTTCTACGGACAGCGCGATACTGCGATGACATAACAATTTAAATTTCGAATAGGTTGACTTGGGACATTTTTTTCGTGGTTTTTGTATTAGACCCGTCGTCCATTTATTTGTAAGTCAATGGCAATAATGACGAAATGTCCATATTAAGAAAATGTTCATACTTTAGGCAAGTTAACTCCCTCAATTCCGATCACTGCTTGTTACACTAAGTTGTAAGGCACCTTTAGGGTTTACACTCTAAAGTAAAGCGTGGGATTACTCCCACTCTGCATCATCAAGCGTGCTAATGATATCCCATATAAAGTACACGTGGGGCTCAAACTCTAAACATAACACCCTATTACAGTGATATTTCACCAATAACAGTGATATTTGTGTGGATTCATATATGTAGTTATTATTAGGTGTCTCCACCGTAAAGTATACATTGCCCTTTATCAGTCCATGGGGTCTACACTCGATCTCCGTCCGATATCCGTCCGAAACAATTACTGTCAAATAAGTAATATTCGACAAAATTAAAAGACAAGTATCATGAATGAAGCTTCATTCGCATCACGCGTTTTTTCATTTGGTCAAGTATTGCTTATTTGGCAGTAATTGTTTCGGACGGATGTCGGACGGAGATCGAGAGTAGACCCCCTAATCTGGTTGATTGAAATGAACCTTCTCTATTGGTATAGGTCTATTCAAGTAGGTCATGAATTATCTAATTTTTTTAGTCAGGTCTTCATCAAATTTACGAGGGTTACGTATTTTCCTTCGCAGTGTCAGTGCTTCAAGAGAACCTGTGGTCAGACTATCGGCCTTACGAAGGCACACAATCACACAACTTCTTCTCTGTCTTTTCCATCTTCTTCCCCGCCGCCACTGGGATTCTCGCCGGTGCTAACATTTCCGGTGATCTGAAGGTAATATTTTGTTTTGTCATATATTTTTGGTCGTCATTTCTTTAGGGAAGACAACAACAGCTACTGACTTTGTCCTACGTTATCAGCAGTTGAAATATGCGTATACAATATACATACATTCTCAATATACCCAAACACACATACCTATAACATAATAATATAAAACTCACACGCCTGGCTTCCATTTGGGTAGGCTACGGATCTCCCCTTGCTACGTTCCACAGATCTTAACTGCCTCTGTGGCCGAACGGTTACCATGCCGGACTGCCACGCAGAGGTCCCAGGTTCGATTCCCGGGCCGGGAGAAATATTTGTGTGACCTACATTTGTTTCTCTCGTGAGTTTGGGTGTAAATTGTGGTTGTCTATATGTGTGTCCATGGCATCCGCGACACAGGGTTTCCCTAGTGCGGTGAGTGTGTGTGTTATTATTATTATTATTATCTTTCTCTTTTTCCGCAGCATTAGTTTTTTTATGATACCTAGTGACGCACAAACAGTTAAAAATATCACTAAATCTAATATGATTCGGAACAATCTATGCACGTAACGTAATTGCATATTATTTTTTTATATTAATTTTTACGGAAACAGTACCTAATGAGGTTCATTGCACTAGTATTGCTTTTTACGAATTTTTTGTTATTATATTTTTTTATAATAATAATAACGCACAAACTCAACATGGCCCCGCACTAGGGAAACCCTGTGTCGCGGGTGCCATGGACGGACACATAGACAACCACAAATTACACCCAAACTCACGAGAGAAATAAATGCAGGCCATACAAATATTTCTTCCGGTCCAAGAATCGAACTTGGGACCTTTGCGTGACAGTCTGGCATGGTAACCGTTCGGCCACGGAGGCAGCCAATTGCAGGCAATAGGTTTTACTTTTCAGTAATAAAGATATCAACACGCTGTAATTGTTTACCTACTTTTGGTGCTGACTGTACTTCCACTTATTTGATATGACCTCATTTCCTCCATTCGCATCAATCTATGATTACATGGTTTAATTTAGCCGGCTTCTTTCCGTCACCGGACTACCAGACGACACAAAGCATACCTTATACTATAGATGTACCATAATATGAGAGTGTATCTTCCTTACCAATGTCTTTAAATTTCATCAGTAAAATACAATTAGTGTAAATGTGGTGTTGAGGCGTGCTAAGTGGGTCTCGACCAAAACACTGCCAGCACGATTAAGAGCGGTTACACACAGCAGCGATGCAAACGCGATGCAGTCGCTAATCGTCTACCTTTACACACGCAGCGGTGCAATCGCGCGGCTGCATCAATACAAACGCGCGATTGCATCGCTACAATTGTGATTTATAAGCGATTGCATACAATCGCCTATAAATCGCAAGTGTAGTGAAAAGTCGCCTGTGCAACCACTCTAATACGTTTGCATATGAATGGTATCCTTAAAGATGCAATCTAATCCATCTATGGTAGTAGAGGTATTAATATTATTATATTATGTTTTACGGCGCATCATTAGAGACCGTCACTCTATGGATTGCAACGCCGCCAGACGCTTGACAGATCTCTTCTCTCTGGTGACTTAAAACTTGCAAGACGTATGTATGTAACGTCCGCGATTGAATTAAATATACTTCCGGACACGTAATTCGAGTCACCACGCATTTTTGTCTTAAAGCGCTAAAACACAAAAATAGTGTTATCGAAGAAAAAGTTTTACCCCGGTTTTGCAAATCCAAATTTCCAAATAGGACTTATGAAAAGGACGTTTAGTATACTAGTTTCAAAATTGCTTAATATTTTTTTATCAATCAAACATTGCGTAAGCTTAGAACGCTTAATACGGAAAATGCGAGGTGGCTTGAATTGTGTCCGGGAGTGTATTAACTGAGACCACGAATGCAATTATTATAACAAAGATTTCGATCTTCGAACACTATGAAAAATTAATTCGATCTGGCTGGATTCGTAACAGCACCATCGGGCAATCCGTGCCAGATAGCCAATAAAGTAAAATTTAAATTTCTCACAGATGGCGCTACGGCAAAAAAGTCGTTTAAAACCAAAAACATGGATCTGCAACAAACACATGGAAAGATTCGTACGGTCTGCTGGTTCATTCTGTGGCTTAATTCGCGGAGCATCTGGCACGGATTGCCTGAGGGAGCTGGTTCGAATCTAGCCAGATCGAATGAATTTTCCTTATTTCGATCTATGTTATAATAATTATAACAAACTAGTTGGAGTAATTTCCCAAAAAATTATTGAATATCATGGTGACAATCAATAAACTTAAAAATTTCAACAGTAACATAGGTCTAATTTGGAGTCAGTTTTTTATTTATAACCACACATCTTCGTAATTTTATTGGCTGTGGCGGATTTGTTCAGTAATTTTTGAGTTTATCGCGATCAGACAGACAGACAGACGTGTAAGTGTAGTGATTACACTTTACATTATATGTAGATATGTAACATATCTACATTTTATACATATAATGTACGAAAGTGATTTAGGAATATTATTGTTATACGATGCAGTGCAGTGCGGCCCGCCATAATGTGCGTGAGGCTTTAAATAATATTTAGGTACTTTGAGTTATTTCTTGTTATCGTCAGTGAATTTTTTGTCATGATTGGCCGCCCTAGGCTTGAGCCTACTGGGCCTTAGGACAAATCCGCCACTGTTTATTAGTCACCCTGACTTGATATTATAAAGGACGTGATATCAATGTACAGAATCAGAAAAACGTGTAAATCAATTTAAAAAATATATGTTCGAATACATAAATATACAAGATTTTATATTATATTTAAAATCCTATACCTATACTTAATGTATATTTAAGACCTTGTAATCAGTCATTTTGTGTACACTATAAATAATTTATCTAACAAGAAATATAGTCATTATCCATAGCCAGTGTTATTAAACCAGAGTGCAGGTTATCGAAGTTACATAAATTGCTCTGGTGTTTGTTGAAGGTAACATTAAATTTATTTATATTTTTCGATTTAGTACAGACGGCAACCCTTAAAGATATCGAATGTGCTAAAATTGTCTATTGAAAATTGTACGTCCATCCAATATACATCCGGAAATAGAGACGAAATGTAATTTAATTTCTTTGAAAATTATTCTGCCAAATCATTACCGATGGGCCAGTCCGAATTCGAAACCATTGACGGGTGTCGTCAATTGTTTCACTTCAAATCAACCAGCTTAACTTGAGCATGGCTATAATGGATGAAAATTGAAAAATTACGTATTTAATTACAGATGAAATGTTGTTGTGTAATTAGATATTTTGCTGTATATCCCACACCACCGAATGGAACAGCCTCCTATTGTTAGACAAAATTATCTTTATTAAAATAAATACAGAATGTTTTTGGAATATACAGAAACGTTCACACAGGTCAGTTGTTGGCGCTGTACTATTTCAGCTTTCTAATTTGTGATTTCGGCGCAAACGAGAGTTGACATTTAAAAGAGATGTGAGGCCCATTTGCCTGATAAGTTGCCAGGGATGTATGGTCCTTATCTCGTCTCTATTTCTGGTTGTATACTCGATGTGTACATCACATTGTTGACACAGCATTCAAATTAGCTTGAAACTCTACCAGTGTAATTTATTGTAATGCACTGAGTGTACCTACTAATTATCTACGCTATTTTTTTACTAATTATGTGTTATTGCTTTTTGGTTCCACGTGATTATGTTTTATCGTGTTTTGGTTTGGTGTTACAAAAAGATGCAATAAGAAACTGTCAATGCCACTAAACACTTGGCGCAAATAAAAAATTTTAATAATAAAAATTCTACATGGAACGCTTGACACTAAATAATTTTCAGTGGAAAACAAAACATACTATAAGTATAAAAATTTTCTGACATTTGCGACGATCGCCATAATTTTTATGTTATTCTTACAAAACTGACACTGGTCCAAGCCTAGTGGCCGCCATTACGGAAATAATAATAAGTACAAAAGTTGCTCCACGCAAACGTATATTAATCAGACAGAGAAAAAGATGTGTAACGTCGTCGACCGTTGTGGCTCCGGCGGATTTTGCTTGATACACAGCCGCCGATCTGTTATTGGTGTCCAGTGGCATCAATCGGAGACAGTGTCCAGTTGCCGTAATCGGATACTGCAACTGCAGTTTCTTGTGTTGGTTGTTTTCATTTGCGCAGCGTCTAATTTGCTTTGACGATGATACGTCACAAAATAGCGTGTGTGCAGGGAGCACCCTTTGAAGAAAGTTTGAAAATATTAGTCATTTAGTGACTTTTCTGAAACAATTGTTATTACAGGCACATGGGACTTGTCAACTTATGTCTCAGAGTGACGGGTGCAGTAGCAGTGCCCCTCAAATCTTTGCTATTTAAAGCTCTGAGTGGCACTGCAACTGCTATGGAGAGGCGTGTCGCTTGTTCGTCCCGACACTTGGTATCATGAAAAAAAAATAATTCGAATGTTTCTGTTTGTAAAAAGATGAAACAAAAGATAAGTAATTTAATGTGAACCCTCTGGTACATAAGTTTGTATCTGACTGGCCCTCTGTGAAAACTGAGTGAGCCCACATAAATTATTTATCTTTGTTTTATCTTTTTATAAATAGAAACATTGGTTTTACAATTGTTTTAGAACTTTTACTAAATTACTCATATTTTATAAACTATCTACAAAGAGAGCTCACACAATGCACACACATGCCACAGAATATTTTTATTCCCCAGGATCCACAAAAATCGATCCCAAAGGGCACTCTCCTAGCGATCGTGCTTACAACAATATCGTATCTTATAATCGCCGTGATCGCTGGCTGGACGGTGTTGCGTGACGCGTCGGGTGAGGTATTGGATGTCGCTAACTGGACCATGTCCAACTGTGGACATGATTGTCGGTACGGGCTACATCATAGCAATGACGTAAGTGAAATTCTTAGATTAGAGCTATTTAATGTTTGTCAGTTGGTTCTTGCTGTGAGACGCGTTGGGCATTTGTAACTTATCATGGCAAAATTGCTTTTGTGTCTTAGGTAATACGGCTGGTGTCCGGTTTTGGTCCACTAATCTACGGCGGCTGCTTCGCCGCGACATTGTCATCGGCGCTGGCATCACTGGTTTCGGCTCCTAAAGTATTTCAGGTATGCATAGAAAGGCTTATAAGTCAATTATGAATCCTCGCCATATTGTTTTACGTGCTTGATTAGCCCGGTGGCACTTGTGTGCAATAGACGGGAAGCACGCTTACGCAAGTTTAGTGAGGGGTGAGACTTTGCTTTTAATAAAATAGATGCGATAGTATGATAATTTTACAGGCTCTCTGTCAAGACAAACTCTACCCGTACCTGGAGTTCTTCGCGAAAGGTTATGGGCCCAACAACGAACCCGTACGCGGTTATGTACTCACCTTCATCATCGCAGTGGCTTTTATACTTATGGGTGAGTTATTTTGAGTGGATTAAGGAATATATATATGTGCTTGAAAATCTGGTGGCTAAAAGAATAAGGTTCACTCCTGAGTTTGAAATAATGGAGCACGAATTTAGAAATCATTCTACTCAATTATGATACTGTCAAGAATTTGGTATTGCATTAAAAAAAATTGTTTTCAGATATACGTAGTTGCTCTATCATAAGCTTTGTTGTATTAAAAAAATATTTTTTATATTTAATATTTATGGCATTAATTAATGATGCTTTTTTTATTAATTAAAGCTGCCTAGTTTTTTCTTACGACACATAAATGAAAATAGTTTGCTAATTATTTATAGCAGGCGTTCTAGTCTTAATAATTTATTACTTTTTTGTAACAGGTGGTCTGAATCAAATCGCCCCGTTGATATCCAACTTCTTCCTCGCGGCTTACGCTCTCATCAATTTTTCCACATTCCACGCAAGTCTCGCCAAACCGGTCGGATGGAGGCCTACTTTCAGGGTACCAATTCTATTTTATGCGTTGTCTAGTGTTTATAAATGTAAACGGGAAAAACGGTCGGAATTGAAATGGTGGAAATTTTTTACTCGTTCGTGGCGAGTAAAATATAACCTCTATACGCGGCGGTTCCAAAGCAAATGATGTCACGACCTTAATATCAGACACGTTTTCGACTTCATTTCAATACTATAATAAGATGAGGATTTATATACTTCGTGGGTTGCTGGCATTAGGTTACCTATTTCACCCTTTTAAGGTGTTTTAAAAGGTTCATAGACTGATTATCATGTGAACTTTTAGAAATTTTTATTTTTATTTCTTAAGTCGTAATGTAAATATTATTGCGTTGCCGTCCACTAACTAAAACGGCTAAGTGACAAAATAATTTTTTGAGATATCATATTATAGTATTCCAGAACTCTACTCAATGCTCAAGTCAGGATTTGAGTATGGTTTAAAGCACTCGAAATCATTCTCAAGTCCCTGCCATTAGGGTCGTAATTCCAGTGCTTATGTTTCCAGTGTAATCTTGACTTGAGCATTGAGTAGAGTTCTAGAATACGACACTTAATATATTGAAATTGTTTAATAATATTTCAGCTTTGCATCATTAGGGTAAGTTCCGACAAGTCGAACACGTTAAGTAATTTTAACTGTTTTTTAAAACAGAATTTTGTGCTATATCTTTGCTATTTATTTTTCATTGGCCGCGTTTTAGTTAGTGGACGATAGTGCGTTCCGGTTATGAAGGGTGCTGGTGAAGTTACAGGCACATGGGACTTCAACTTATGTCTCAGGGTGTTGGGCGCAGTGGCAGTGCCCCTCAGATCTTTGCGATTTAAAGTTTTGAGTGGCACTGCAACTGTTATAGACAGGCGTGTCGCTTATCATCAGGCGCACGACTTGTTCGTCCCATCACTTGTATATAAAAAAAAAGTATTTTTATATTATCATTCGTTGTCATAATTTTTATAGAGGCTTGCTGGATATTCATTTGGCGTAGAAAATACCTTTCCATATCCTCGTGAAGTCGTTCTTTAAGCTGTAGTGTAGTTTTTAAGGATTTTTTAAATCATCACATGATTTATTTGTACATTTTTTTCATTGTAAGAATTCTTAAATAATTTATAGATTAACATTATGTTCAATTTTGTATCAGTTCTACAACATGTGGCTGTCCTTGTTGGGTGCGATGGTATGCGTGGCGATTATGTTCGTCATATCGTGGATCACTGCCCTCGTCACCATCGGATGCCTCCTGGCCTTGTACCTCCTCGTGTCTTACAGGAAACCGGGTAAGATATTATTAATTATACTTAATTATACTACTACAGCCTCTGTAGTATAGCTGCCTTTGAATATAATATTATGTAAAAGTCGATTCGAAATAAAAGATTTTCATTTATTCAAGATTGTCAATGTCACAATATTACAGTTTAAAAGGCAATCCTAATATGATCGTCTTTAATATAAACAACAATAATTAATATAAAACAAAATAGAATAAATTAAAAATATATAAATAAACACAAAATATTGTCCAAATACAACGACGTCAAATAAAAATAACATAAATTTTTTTTGAAAAGAAATTATACAATGTGAAATTCATTATCCAGTAAATGGAGTTTTAGTCGGGTATAAAATATTTCGTCCTGTCGTTTGAACAATTTTTAAACTTCTGGGCAGCTGTTCGTAGAATCTAGGACCTATTACTCGCGGGTTACTCATTGTGAGTTTGGTACGGTGGGTAATGGATTTTAGGTTCCCCGTGTTGTCCAATTCTTGGCCTCCGACCGTACATCCCTCGCGTTTGTTGCGTCTAGCAATTTGACAGATGACAGTAATTAGTAGATAATATTTTGACGATAATATGGTAGCCCATTGTTTGCATTGTGGGCGTTGGATGAGGAGGTCCCGGATGCGAATCCCGGTAGGATCAATTTGGCAAATTAACGTTTCTAAATTGTTTTTTATCTGGATGTTCTCATAGTACAGGGAATTCCATAGTATGAGACTAGGTAATTAGTGTGGTTGCCTGGCACATTATTATTATTATATTCAAGGCTCTTTATCAGGTATTTTAAAAATTAATGATATTTCATTGAAAAACGTTATAAAATCAAAACATACCGAAAGGCTCAATTTATATTGCGGCGGGACGGAATGGAAGCGAATATTTGTAACGATATTGTACATATTGTCAACTGTGTAACGTACAAACTAGATGCGAGTTAAAAATTACGTCGCGCGTCTTCCGCGGAATTCTCGCGCATGCTCGAGAATGCTCGTGTATTCGCGAGAATTCCGCAGCTGTCGTCGGCGACGCTTGGCGAATGCGCGGGAAGTGGTGCGAAGGCAGCCGCAGTGTGAAGTCAAACGTCGACGAAATACTATAACCTCAAGGCGCAGAGGCGAGAATGCTGGAGTTTTCCCGCGAATGCTCGATCATCCCAGCGACCGCGCGCGCGTTCTCTCGCAGAGAGGCAAAATTGACGGTTCCGTTCCCCCGCAATGTAAATAGAACCAAGTTTGTTAATTCCTTAGAGCTATATTCAATCGGGGTTACAACTTACTGTTACCCTCCTTCAATACTATTCCGTAGTCATGGACATAGCCGAGCGTTTATTGACAAAAACACTATACGCCTATAAAACACAGTCAACATTAAAAGCAAACATAGTTCGGAATGAACAATGGAATAGACGCTAGAAATTTAGGAACAGTTTAGTTACTTACTAGACTCGACTATTTATTTTTATATCGTTATTTGATTAATAAATTTGTGTCAATACTAGGCTAGGCAGCCTAGAGCATATAAGTAAAAAACATTAATTAAGTTTGTTGAATGTTAGGATGTTTCACCACCATTTGTGAAATTACTCCATTACGGCAGAAAAGTCTTTAAAAAATACCGAAACAAAGATCTGCAATAAGCGCATAGGAAATTGTTAATGTTATTTACAAAGAGCAACCCCTAGAGTTTCTTGCTCATTCTTCTCAGGGGAATCTGCCTTAAGAATGAGCGGTAGAGTTTAACCGTTGTGACGATTTCAAGTGTAATAATGCTTACCTATGAAACAAAGATTATTTTGAATTTGAATTTGAATTTGAAAATTCGTAAGGCCCGCTGGTTTGTTTGGTGGCTTAGTTGGCATAGCGTCTAGCACGGTTTGCTAGAAGACGCTGTTCGAATCCAGCCGGATCGAAGTAAAATTCCGTCTAAATTCTTTCTAAGCTTTCGATTAATTATAACCAATATCGTTAATTTAAGTCAACACATCGACCGACTAAAGCACATAAGTTGTATAATTTGTTTCAACTTAAATTCTAAAGGCGTCTTTCTCTACACCTTTTCTGACATTATAAACAACACGGAACAACATGCTTTGTTTTTTGGTATATAAATTGGAGCATTTGTTTGTCTGCCGGCTACTGCTAGTGATAGTATAGAAAAGTGTTGGGCAAACTAATTCGGCCCGCCAACGCCCCTTTTAACCCTGGATTTAGTAATCCTTATTCTACAACGCTTGTAATGAACCTTCGTGGTTTCGACTACGCTTATAAAAAAAAGGATTTCAAAGATTTTATGAAGTAAAACCAGCCATGGTTGGTTATGAGTTTTTTCTTTTAATTTGTAGAAAAAAACTCATTACCTACCATGGCTGTAATGACAAGAAAATTGGCCCTCGGGTTTTATTTGGGACATTACAGTCAAGTTAGCCTGCGTGCAATTATACTATTTACGTACAACCGTGATGAAAAATAACATAACAATACACTAGTCAAAAATAATTCAGAAGAAAATGCATCTTTTTATAAAATCTGTTCCCCTGTGAAATTTCTTATGTTTTTCTGGTCCTTAAAATGAAAAAAGTTTGCCGAATAGTCGCTGTTTCGTATGGAAATGTAAAGTCAAATAACATGATTGGTTACTTTGAATCCGTAAGAACTGACATTGGTAGATTTATTATTTACTATTGGATTTCACTATAATTAAGCCTAGTTCGTCCATTTGTAACGTTTAATTCCTAAAATTGAAGTAATAAACTTACGCGGACGATGCAACATAAAATGCGATATAAAATTATGGAATTTTTTTAAATTGAATTTTCAGATGTCAATTGGGGCTCGACAACGCAAGCACAAACGTACAAGACAGCGTTATCAGGAGTCCACCACCTGAATAGAATTACGGAACACGTAAAGAATTATAGGTTAGAAATTTCAATAACTTTGTAAAATTGCATTCTTTCAGTTTTTAATGATTAAATGCGTCATGTAATTTTATACGTGATGAATTTTATGTAATTAAATTAATTGTGATAAGTTGCAAGTGTTAGTAGAGTCAATGTTAAAATGTATTTGTAATACTGTGAATAAAACGTACATTACTTACGTTTACCCTATTGTAAAAATCCAAGTTAAGAGACGGTGTGAAGTTCTCTGGCAATTATCTTTGAAAAGTGATACGGAGAAACACATATCGAGATTGTACAGTCGCCTACACTTCTTGGAGCAAAGGGGGACGATGTTATGCAAGATGAAATTTATAATTAGTAATTTTAATTTACAACAGGCCACAAATTCTGGTGCTAACTGGGTTTCCGGCTGAGAGACCGATATTGACAGACTTTAGCTACTTACTCACTAAAGGATTGTCGCTCATGCTCTGTGGACACGTGGTACAGGTAATTGTGCTTATCTAATTCATTATACCGTATCATCAAGCATCGGCTTTGCGTTATCTTATCTTTATTTTTATTTATCGACATTGTATTAATAAAGATGTATAACTTAATCATCGAAAGTTGATGTGGTCGTTGTGAATGTGTACTATATAACCACCATTGATCTAATATAATATATATAATAATAACCTATCTTTTTGGGATTTTTTGGTAAAACTGTTCAGCGACGTAGTTCAATATGCTTCCAATAGATGGCGTCTGTGATCGTTCAGGCAATTCAACTGAATTAATCATCTAGAAACTATTGGTAAAATAAAATTCATAATTATGTATACAGGGATATTTATAAAATACCATCGAGCATTTAATCAGAAAGAGAAACGGAATAAGGGCCATCCATCCCTCAACACATCAGTCAAATGGGACTCATATCACTTTTAAATATCAATTCTCGTTTGCACTGAAATAGTACAGCGCCAACAACTGACCTGTATGTACGTCTCCGTACATTCCAAAAATATTCTGTATTTATTGTAATAAAGATAATATCTCTAACAATGTGGGGCTGTTCCATTCGGTGGTGTGGGAAAAACAGAAAATCATCTAATTACAAAACAAACCGAATCACATTTCATCAGTAATTAAATATGTAATTTTTCAATTTTCGTCCATTATAGCAAAGCTCAAGTTAAACTGGTTGATTTGAATTGTTTCGAATTCGGACTGGCCAATCGGAGCGCAGTGGTCACCGTAATGATTTGGCAGAATAGTTTTCAAACAAATTAAATGACATTTCGTCTCTATTTCTGGTTATATACTCGATGAAGCAAACACTGGCTGTCTTATGTTTCCATAGCTTAGGTAAGTGTGCAAGTGACACTGGAAGCGTTTTTGAGTCATACTGTTGACTAGAACTAAGGTTTTTTTATAATACCAACTGACGGAACGAACATCCTGCGCCTGGTGGTAAGCGACACACCTGTCCATAACAGGTGCAGTACCCCTTAGAGCTTTTAATTGCAATAACCTTAGTGGTACTGTTACTGTGCCCGTATCCTGAGTCATAAGTTGACAAGTCCCATGTGCCTGTCATTTCACCAGCACCTTTACCCTACCAACCCGGAACTTAGTAAAGTTCATACTCCTGCTTGGCGGCAGAAATAGGTAAGGCGGCAGTATTTAAGAGGGAGCAGAGGAAAAATTCCTAATCTTCCATTTGATTTTAGAGGGGTATATCTCTTGCTCTCTCACTTTAAAGTTAAAAATAAAATATTGTATGTGTAACTACACGATATATTCAAGCATAGACATTAATCAGAAACATAAAACAATAAATTTCCTCGATAGATAAAAATCACGAAATGACCTCTAATTTTCACATTTTTTCGATTTATCCTCGAAATGCTACAGGTTATTAGGACAAAAATAAGATAATTAATTATATTTATGCATGATCGACAACTGTCACTACGGATTGTTTTAATCCCTTTAGTTTTAGAGTTATTCCGCTAAAACGAATTTGGTACTTTTAATGCGCAAAATTCAACATCTCCTGTCGCATGTCACGCGAACTTCAGGCATATATTTGTTTCACAAATTTGGGCGGAGCCAACGTCAAAACTTTTTTGGCATGTGAGCTCTTAACTGGACGAACTCTTTCACTAGGAGCTCTACTGCTATGTTATTGACGTGGTTTATGCCACCGTAAGTTGATTTACATACACTTGCGAAACCATACCGATGCCTATTGTATAATAGGCATCGGTATAGTTTAAAGTATTTTAGGGATACCACATAATTGTCATTTCTTAGAAACAATACATTGTTTTAGGGTCCAGTAAACCACCGTGCCCGAGAAGCGCTAACGAATCGCGCGTACCATTGGTTTAACAAACGGAAGATGAAATCGTTCTACAGCATCGTCGATGACGTGGGATTCAAAGATGGCGCTAGTGCGTTGATACAGGTATGGATTACAGTGTATACATACAATGTACAGACGGCACCACATCAAATTACACATTGATGGATCTTGTTCCGTTGCACTGGAGGCGATATTGGAACAAAACTGTATAGGATGATGTGCTGCTAACTGTATATAGGTTCATCGGAGTTAAAATGTAGTAGGAAAGTCGAACTGACCGATTCTATCACAGCCAATCACATGGCCTTAAACCTATTCAGTTTGAATTTAAAATCATTGGTTGATTTAAATTCACGTTTACACGTCATATAGATGAGTTGGACCTGCCTATCGTGTAAGAGAAATAGACGTGATGGTATATGTATAAAGATCAAGGTTCGGGGAAGTGACAACTTATGAAGTAGACAGATCTGCTCCTAATTGTCTAACTTTTTTTGTTTGTTTGTTGTATAAAACAGAACGCTATTGGTGTTTTCTGTGACCTCTCAAAGGCATTTGATTGCGTTGATCATAATACTCTTATTAGTAAGCTGGAACATTACGGTGTAAATGGCAAGGCGTCGAAACTTGTCTCGTCATATCTCAACGGTAGAATTCAGAAACTAGGCATAAATGGAGCGACTTCTTTGGGTTCTCCAGTAAAAATGGGTGTTCCGCAGGGCTCAATACTTGGACCTTTCTTATTTCTGATTTATATTAATGATCTGCCATTCTTTGTTAAGGACCATTGCGAAATAGTGTTGTTTGCTGATGACACATCCTTGATTTTTAAAACAGACAGACATGACATTAACTATGACCGTATTAATGATACCCTCTCTAAAGTAGTTTATTGGTTTAATGCTAACAATTTATTGCTTAATGCCAAGAAGACAAAATGTGTTAAATTTGAATTACCTAACGTAAAATCGACTAGTCCAACCATAGAAATAAACGGAGAAAAGTTAGACCTTGTTAATAAAGCAGTCTTCTTGGGAGTGACCTTAGATAGTAAACTTCAGTGGTTTCCACATATATCGTCCCTGGCCAGCAGATTAAGCTCCGCTGCATACGCAGTCCGCAGAATACGTGAGCTTACCGATGTTAGTACTGCTAGACTAGTTTACTTTAGTTACTTCCATAGTATAATGTCCTACGGGATTCTCATGTGGGGTAAAGCGGCAGATATTCAAACCATATTTGTATTGCAAAAACGAGCGATTCGTTCTGTGTACCGTCTAGGCTCTCGGGTATCTCTCAGAGAAAAGTTTAAGGAGACTGGTATCATGATTGTGGCATCACAGTACATTTACTCAAATATTTTATATGCCCGTAAAAATATACATAATTTCAATAAGAAAGAAGATATCCATAATATTAACCTTAGAGCTAAGTCCAAACTCATGGTATCACGATTTCGTTTAACCAAGGTAAACAACTCTTTTATGGGGAACTGTATACGTTTTTACAATAAGATTCCGGAGCATATATTAAGTTTATCATTTCCTAAGTTTAAAAACTACATTAAAAATATTTTGATCGAAAAATCATATTACAAAATTGAAGACTACGTGTTAGATAAAGATGTATGGAAAGACGACATGGCTCCAGAATCCACACAAATTTGATTCAAAGTGTATTCCATAGCATTTAAGTTTATTTGAAAAGAGCAATCCCTAGAGTTTCTTGCTCGTTCTTCTCAGGGAGGTCAGCGTAGTGAACGAGCAGTACCTTAAATGTGACGTTTTCAAGTGTAAATTTATTTTACCTATGGAATAAATCATCTTTGACTTTGACTTTGACTTTGACAAGTACGGTCCCATACGAAGTATTGCTCACACCTCAGGGCAGGAGTTCCCAAATATCAGTTTGACCCACTTGACTCCATTCAACGTAGGACTGTTTGTGTTGTTGATGATCCCAAACTCGCAGAAGGTATGGAGCCCTTAGCCTACGGAGAGACGTTGGCTCTCTGTGTGTTGTCTACCTTCTTTATAAAGTGCTCTGAGGAACTTTTCAAACTGATGCCACCGTCTCGTTTCCACCATCGCATCTCCCGCCAAAGGAGTACAGTCCATCCCAACGTCTTAGATGCCTGTCTTACATGATTGTAAGACCACGCACGAACGAACAAGATGCCCATCTTGTTCGTTTCTTCCTCGAACCTGCAAGATATGGAATGATCTTCCCCCTGCACTATTTCCATTGCGCTATGACATGGGGTTTTTCAAAAAGTGTGTTTAAAATGTGTTGCAAATGTCCACGAGTGACGATGACTACCTCCCATTAAGTGGATCGTCTGCTAGTTTGCCTCCCACTTTACATAAAAAAAACTTGAATATCAGTCAGACGTTCAAGGTGAAATGTCAAATCTTATAGAAATGACAATCACTTTCAATAGGCCGCTGCTCTGAAATAACCGTGATTTGCAGGTGATCCAGCATTGGGCATATTCCGACAGACGAAAAAAAAATCAGATTAGAGATTAATTATTAATACAAAGATCGAACACTCAGAAAAAACACTCAGAAAAAATTCCTTCGATCCGGTCGGATTCGAACCGACGTCTTCTTGCATACCGTGCCAGACGCTATACCAACTAAGCCACGGAACGAACCAACGGCCCTCACGAATCTTTCTATGTGCTTGCGTCGTGTCTTTGTACTTGGTCTTTCAACGACTTTTTAGTCGTAGCGCCATCTATGAGAAATCTATGATAGATTTATCACCCAGTTAGTACCTTTACAGCTACCAGTCCTGGCGAGAGATGTCGCTATTCACTGTATTAATTAAATTTTTATTGAATTGATATTCAATTATTTTTTGTGAAATTACTTCGAAACCGACCGGATCGAAGGAATTTTTTCTGAGTGTTTTTTCTGAGTGTTCGATCTTTGTATTAATAATTATAACAAACTAGTGGAGTAATTTCACAAAAAATAATTGAATATCAATTCAATAAAAATTTATTTAATACAGATTAGAGATGTTCATATCTCAAACAAAATGCTTTTGACAAACTAACATTGACATTTAATTACATTGAACAATTTTATGGTTCACAGGCCAGCGGTCTGGGTAAACTAAAGCCGAATATACTCATGATGGGGTTCAAAGAAGATTGGCTCACATGTGACAGATCTGAAGTTGTTGACTACGTGGAGGTGTTGCAGTAAGTGTTTTGTTGGTGGAAACTCAGTACAGTTGACTTCACACACTGTCAAACATATTTAGTTTTTTTTTTATAGAATGTTCTTATTATTAATGTATGTACAATCCAACAACAACAAACAAATCTGTACACAGTTCTTTTAAGATATCGGTTGTTTGAGAAACTCGTTTGTAAAGGGTATAAATACGTAGTGCATTAGACTACTTACGTATTATTTATGATCGTTTTTATGTAACTTTATTAATTATTTTTAGAGTATTATTATTTTTTCAATCGTCATTATATATGTGCAGACAAGACCAATTTTTAATAAATCCTCACCGTACGATTACGTTCTACATATCTATGCATTTTTGCGATTTATGCCTGCAGCAATGCAGTGAAATAAGCGCTCCTGACAAGTACAAGCATATTATAATTATTAAAATATATCGAACACTTAGAAAAAATTTACATCCATCCGGTTGGATTCGAACCAAGATCTCCCAGCAAACCATGCCAGACGCTATGTCAACTAAGCCACGAAACGAACCAACGGACCTCACGAATTTTTGCCATTTGCTTATTGCAGATCTTTGTTATGGTTTTTAACGATTGTTTTGCCGTAGCGGCATGGGAAATCTATGTTTTTCTTCACTCCGTGAGGTACCTTTGCAGCTTTAAACCTGCGGTAGCTACCTGCCGCTGTCACGAGATGTCACTCTAATAATTGTAGTTATATGTACATTTTACTGAACATAGTAAAAAAATAAGGATTTGTCTACGATTAAAAAGATTATCGCAAATTAAACGTTATTTCATCTTGTCGAGTACGACTCGTATGTTTTTTTTAAAATTCATTTTCACCCTGTATATTCTGTGTATCTACCAGCAAAGCTCTGGATGTGCACATGGCGCTGGCGATCTTGCGCGTGGAGGGCGGGCAGTATTCCAGTGATGCACTCGACGACGACTTAAGAGCGTACCTGCATGACGTCACCGATAAGAACCTCTCGCTTTTCTCACGTACGTACACATACTTAGGCATATCACCCACCAAACACAAAAGGAGCCTCCCCGTACGAAGTACCATTACACCTTTAGTGCCACCTTGATTTAGTAGCAATAGAGCTCCTTGTGAAAGAAGTCGTCCAGGGAAGTACTGCCATGTTACCTATTGCTGCTATTCCAGTTTTGAAGGGTAGGGGTGGTGGTGAAACTACAAGCACATGGGACTTTTCAACTTATGTCTCAGGGTGAGATGGGCGCAGTGGCAGTGTCCCTCCGATCTTTGCGGTTTGAAGCTCTGAGTGCCACTGCAACTGTTATGAATAGGCGTGTCGCTTACCACCAGGCCAAGCGATTTGTTCGTCCCGTCACTTGGTATTAGAAAAAAAAATTTGTGTATGCCATCAATAAGACGACCCACCGAACAAGTAAGAAGGAAAGATATCTTTACATAACTAATAATTTCATTTTGACATCTCTCTATAATACAATGGTTATTTATCGTAGTGCAACGATTCATCAATTCATTCTAGAGTATTCCGCAGACGGTCCAAGGTACGCCGGACATAGCGGAGAATACATTTTTCCCTCTGGGGAGGATCTTTTCGTTTATTTTACATTATACATCAAACAATCTTTATTAAAGATGCCAAATCCCAAGAGAAAAGATATCTTGTCGTACCAGCCAACATTAACAGCGATAATCAATTAACTTCTTTTTGCAGCCGTAACTAACCTAACAACAAACGATTAGTATATAATAATGTGTTGCTTAAATATGTTTGTAAATATTAAAATTTTACCCGAAAACGGCGAAGCTAAAAGAAAGGTAACGTTTTAATACTAATAAATGTGCTTTCATTTGTTATTATGTTGTCATTTGTTACTAATTATTTCCTCAGATTCAATGGGTGACAATAAGGAATCGAAAAGTACGGAAAGTCTCAATACGCATTCTGTGGGTAAGTTCCAGCTTTTGCCGATTGTTTTGTGAGCAAGTAGTGTAACACAATCCCTGTTTCATCTGCTGGTTTTTCGCCTTGTGTATGTGTTTCATATTGTAAAAGTTGTAACTTAAAAAGTCGCTAATCATCTTAGGTTTTATTTACCTCAATCACAGAAAAGTAAAAGAAAATCAGTACTAAATATATCGGTATTATATCTATTCAGGGTTATATTTTTAATAGAATTATTACATCGATGTAAATTTAGCTAAATATGACACGACTTTTCAAGTGTTCGTGTGCGCTTTCCGAGTTTATCTGTTGCACATTCATATGCAGGATTGTGCGAATCACATTCACTTTCCATTTTCTCTGGTTTATGTTACTAGTTCTTGGTTTTCCAAGACCTCGTCTGCCTTCTATGATGTTTTAATAGATGGTTATTCTCGGCTAAGTGTTCACAGTGTTTAGTTTCTGTGGCTATTTTTAATAATTAAGTATTCGAGTAATTTATCGAGAAATATTGTTTAATATTTTATGTTTAATCAATACTTAATGAAATATGCGACTGAAATTAAGTGTCGTGTATAAGAATGGCTGTGTCGTGTATTACTTCCATTTGAAATTTGAACTATGTACGTATGCAACAGGCAGCAGCCTGTCGGACGTATCACTGGACACACCGCAGTTGCGTCGTGCGGGCGTTTCGGCTGACCCAGGTGCGGCTGGTCCTCTGGCGCCCCCCGCCACCGCCGCAACAGACAGGGACCACGCACCCAAGCCCAAGGAGAAGGATAAGGAAAGGTATAGCAGAATCAGACTTATGTGTGTTTGCAAGTCTGTGTACGCTTGCAAAGCAACGCTATTGCTTAGCATAAACCAGTGATATTACCCATTTCACTTATTGATTAGTGGAATTTGGTTTTCTGACTTGGAGTTTCGTGGTTGGCGATTTTCCCACGTAGAATAAAAACACTTGTATTGCAAAAAGACGATCGAGTCCAAATAATGTCCCAAGGGGCTATTTTAACGTTATGACATAGACCTTACTTGTTTTCTACGGTAACGAGATGTATCCGTGCCGATAAGTGACCACCTTGAGCTACTTTGTCTGGACTTATCATCGAAACCCCAACTTTAAGCGCGACATTGAGTGCTTGGCAAAAACTGCTGCCAAAAAACTAGCCATACTTTACATGGTCAGGCGGTACTTCACACCTAAACAGCTTTTAAATCTGGACCCCGATTCAGAACTTTTTGATATCTTAACCGAGTCGTTCGATTGGATATCGTTCTCGAATCGAAGGGCGGTTTCCGAGCTATTAGAACATTCTGAGTTAAACGGTCGATTCGAATTCGGATACGATATCTTTATCCAATAGCGTTTACGGAGTTAATCGGTGAAATAGATTTAGAATAGAATAGAATAGAATAGAATAGAATAGACATTTATTGCAACGCCACAACACATAGATACAAAAAAAAATATTGATACTACTTAGACAAGCAAAACAAAACAAAAAGAAGTAATAAACAAAATTAAAATAAAATGAAATAAGACAATAACAAACAAAGAGCAAAACAAAAAATACAATATATATAACAACTACAAATGTTGTACTGTCATGTGTGCGGTTGTGGCGTATGCAAAAGGACTTCATTCAGCTTATGCCACAGCCGCAATTGACTGTGGAGCTGGTTTTCAATGAGCCCTGGGTTTTCAATGAGCCCTGATTAGATTTAGACAAAAATGAAAATCCATTTACGTACATTTTTAAGACTCTAAAGTTCTAAAATTTATTAATGCTTAGCCTTGCATTAAAATAAATTAATAAAAACCCAGACTTTATTTTTAAAATAATAAGATATTTCCATATTACATTCTTGCTTTTTAACCAATAGGACATTCGATAACTGTGTTCTGAATAATGATTGTAGCCTTTGCCGGTCGAGACGTACGAGTAATCGTACGGGTGTGACGTCATTTGTATAGGACAGTTTGTAGTGTTGTGACGTTCGATTCGGTTATTGTGAATAAAAATGAAAAGAAATCCTACGATATCTAATCGAATCGGTCGACTACAAGTTTGATTGTGTATGGAGTATTGCTGCCACCTTTTGGACGGCTCTGCCCATTACCAGTTAGCCCTCGACTCAGTTGAGCGAAAAGCAAAGAGATTTGTTAACGACAATTCTCTTGTGTAGTAGGAGCTACAAAATCTCGACCAGTAGCATGCTTGTTGGTTTTCTATCGGATACGCGGGGCGCACTATATGTTTCCCGAATGAATAAGAAAAAAATACTATAAATGGTCAGAAATGAATTTATTGCTTCTCAAAATGTTCTCCGTTAGCGTTAATGCATTTCTTTATACGAATGAACCAATTCTGAAAACATTTATGCCACATCTCCGTGACAGTCTTTGAAACATATTTTTCATACTCTTCGACAGCCTCTTCAGGTGATGACAATCGTTGACCGCGTAACTGATTCTTAATTTTTGGAAATAAATAAAAGACACAAAAAAGCAGCTTTTTCATACCCAAATATTTGTGTAGTATTGATTGTATTTGACTCATGCAAGTTGACTCAGGCATTCCCTAAAGATGCCCAAATCTCATGGTATGTCACATGCCTGTTTGTTTTGATCATACAGCGCACAGGATGGATGTTTTTGTTGTTCACAGCAGTGGACGGGTGACCATCATGAAATTCGTCACATAGATTCACACGACCGCGTTTGAATTCTGCAAGCCAGCTATAAATAGTCGTCTTGCATGGTGCTTCACCGCCACCGTCACAGTTTTAAGCGTAGCGAAGCTCCGCTGAGCAGTTCAGTTACATTTAAAGACGTAGAAAATCATACTACGAAAATTTTCACGAGTTAAATCCACCGTGATGTAGACAACCAATTTCTAAAATAACGCCACAATGTAAAAACAAGTGACAGTCAGATGAAACAAACTGTATTCTACAGCCAAAGAGTTCCATTAAAATGTTCTAATTACTTTTTAAATATTGTTTATGTAAGTGGCCAGTTCCGGAAACTTATAGTGCACCTTATGTACATTTCGGAGGGTGTGCGCAGGAACTTTTCAATTTAGTTCCACCCTCGCCGTTCCTCCTTCGGTCGACTAGAAAGTCCGGAACACTTTTGTCATTGATATACCACCCATTCGCACGGGAAAGGAATGGAATACTCTACCGGCGTATTTCCTGAAAAATTTGGAGTTAGGTTATAGTGATTTTTAAGGCAAACGCATACCATTGTTGGTCACAACGTCGCTTAACATCAGACGAGATTGTGGCCAAGTCTGTGTTTATTATTTATAAACAAAAAACCTGCCATAACACATATACCTTCTCCACAGCAGAGGCTTGGGCAGCGCAGTCCGGCGTGCGTTCGGCGCATCTGTCGCCCGTCGCGCGTCGTCCTTCACGTCTGTGGAACAGTTCACTAAGCGTCAAGCTGGCTCTGTTGATGTTTGGTGGCTGTATGATGATGGAGGTGAGCTTGCCTTGAAACTAAGACTTATTGTCATATTTATTGAATATCATGATATTTTTCTTCCACTGGTTTATTCATTCTGACTGTACTCGAACCAGCGTCTGTTGCCACACCGGAGCCTCAGCTCTTACCGACTGAGCTATAGACCAAGGCAGCAGGTCGTACGAATCTGTGTGCTCGTTGCAGATTTTTGTATTATTAGACGGCTTTAATGTTTTTTTTTTGCCGTCAACACCTTCTGTGGGAAAGAACAAGGGCGAAATTATTGTTAAACGAATTCTTTAGCGTCTTCAAACGTCATAATTACAATTTTGAATAAAACAAATTCATGAGATTTTTCAAATTATACTAATGGTCTGTCTAAGTCTGGAAATAAAATCAAATTTAAATGAAACTCAAATGAGAGGGATATAACCGGATTGATATCTACAACTGTCAGTTTCTTAGTGTTGAGCGACATCTAATGGCCAAAAAGAGATTTGAAATACCTACGTATAGATTGGTCCACATTAAGTTAGTTCACGTGATATCAAAAGTACTGATTCAACCGATTTGCAATAAGAGATCAACTACTTTATATATATTATATGTATACAAAAATAAAGGAGATAAAATTCCTTCTCCAAATATATCACGCGTGAAAGTGATTACAATGACAAAAAAGTTCCCGATATCAGGGATAGATGCTATCATCTTTTACAGCCCAAAATAATCTATGCCTGGATTACCACGGCATGGTATGTATTAACTCAGTTTTCTTTTGCTGTGGCTTAACTTCATGCCTTTTGACCATACCTTATAAATAATATTTCCTCTGTTTAAGGCTTCTGTAGATTATTTTGATATAATAATACATCGAATATATTTTATTCAATTATGTAAAATATAACCTCCAAAACTTCAAACTGGGGTATCTTCGATCTGGAATTGAAGATACCCCATCTTCAATTCCAGACTTCTCAGAATAGTAAATCCAAAACCAAATTGGTTCTGAAATTTGAACTCTATATTTTCACATATTTTTCATGTACATACGAATACGTCACAGGCAACGCGGAGAAGAACTGTGTTTGAAACATTCAATTGGATATAGTGATATTTTTCTCTAAGCAACGAGATGTCTCAATATCGAATTTTACCGCTTTGTTGGATAATGCGCGTCTAACCACGAAGATTTTGCTGAGATCAGAAATTCGTCCGACGCGCATTGTAAACAGCAATTGTAAATTCTTTATACTTAATCCATTTTGTTTAAATAATTTGTTGTTCCTTACAAATAATGTGAACAATCTGAATGAATGATATTTGTATGAAGAGTCTTCACTAAGTGGCCTAATGTAACCTTTTTAATCTTTTTTTTATTTCATTACTCCCTTGGAACGTTAACCTGCCCTTATACATATATTTAAGTCTGCACTTAACTTGTACAGGTCTAACACTCCTTCTGCCGTATATCCTGTCCACACGCCGAGCGTGGTCGTCGTGTCCTTTGCGAGTTTTTACGCTGGCCAACAAGAACACGGAACTGGAGTTGGAGGAAAGGAAGTAAGTTATCTTTTAGCAGTTTCTTGCAACTTGCAGTCAAAGACATAAGGCGAAAGACAATCCGGCATTGAAATTTTGATAAATGTCTTCATTAAAATATAAAAAATAAGGCAATTACATAATTATTATTATTCTAAATTTGTAATATTACATAAGGTAACGTTACTTGGCTGACTCACCCATTCGAACATTTAAACGTAAATACGTAAATTAGTACGTTGATAAACCTATTGTTTATTGTGTAGAAATTTTACTTTTTATTTCTTAGTGAGCAATACCTATAATGAGAGTGAGGGTTAGCTAGAAAGCGATTCAGTCTAAATACATAAGTATAACACCTCATGAAACAAAATTAACATTGTGCGAACGAACAAATTAAATTACTATTAGATATTTATTTAACTTATTATTGATATTTGCCGTGGAGCCTGGAGCCTTACACTGGCAATACTTTTGAATAGTTGTAAACTAGTTTTTTTAAATATCATCATCATATCAGCCGGAAGACGTCCACTGCTGAACATAGGCCTCCCCCAAAGATTGACTAGCCGGTCGGACGCAACGTGCATCCATCGATTACCCGCCGCCCTTACCAGGTCATCCGTGCATCTAGTAGGGGGCTGTCTTACAGGACATTTTTTTTAATCGAAGCGCAGCATTGTAATGTAGTAATTCTGTTCCTAGACTGTACGGAACTCGGCCATTTCTCATCCGATATGCACTGAATTTTAATGATATTATGTGTAGTCTTTAAGGTAAATATTGTATGGGTCATAGTTCTTATATAAATAAAATAAATAAATCAGTAAATATACTAGCGCGAATAATCAATTCTACTGTTCGTGTCGAAGGCCTTATTTTAAATTTCGAACTGTGACCTGAGATAATTGAGGTTAAAGGTCATCATGTTTAGTCTATCGGAAAAATATTAAATTATAATGTTTAGAACTGTGAAAACAAGATAGACTTATGTTTTCGCGATTGTTACACATAGGAAATGAAACAATTTTTTCGGATCTTTTTTCACACGGCTGTCAGCCATGACCATGGGACATGTAAAGTGCTCGAAACGTTTCTTAGTTTGAATATAGATATACGCGATTTATCCGAAAAAAGAATATTATATAATAATAGATATTATAGACCTGCCCTCTATACTACTGCTGTCCCGCATTCCATCTAAGGGAGAAGGGGGTGAGTGAAAACCGGCGACTTTCCTAAACAGGAGCAGCACTAGCTGAGACACCTCCTTTTGCCTCCTGTTAATATAATAATCTTAATTTCTAATTCCAAAAATATTTACTTAGTATCTTAAATGTAGTTTTTTTTTAGGTTTTTATAATTTTGTTTTGTATATATTGGAGGCAATAAAGAGATTTTATTATTATAGGAAATGAAACTATTTTTCCGGATTTAAATAGCGTATATTAGTTTTTTCAAACAAACCGACGTTTCGGGCCCTTTACCAGGTCCCATGGTCACGGTTGTCTGAGGTGGTACAGTCTTTAACCAGTTATGTCTAATATTGATGCAAACCACCCTATTTTTTCACTATAGTTACAATAGTTATTAATTAAATACCTTATTTTTAATTTTACAAAGAAAACATTCCAATTTACGCTATATTAAGTTTTACAAATTATTTTATCGAATGAATTTTTATTAAGTTCAACTTATTATTAATTATTAATAGAAATTAGAATAAACTAAAACATATTAATTAGTACTGCAATCTTATGTCTGTTTGGGATTTTTCATTAGAGGAAATACTGGATCCCAAACTGGTGGTACGGAGAAACCATCTTCCCTGTTGAAATTAGGATGTTTTTTAATTTCAATGGCCTCTCGCAGCATCCTGGGCAGATAACGGACTTCTTTTGCAAGGACCTGGGGTTTGCCAAACTTCATTGAATGTGTAGGTTTATCCATGACTGGGCTCATGCATGACATGATTTAAATCCGGAAAAATAGTTTCATTTCCTATGTGTAACAATCGCGTAAACCTAAGAACTCGATAGATTTTATTATTGTTAATAAAAATAGTTTCATTTCCTAAAAAGATAGACTACTGCGTTTTAGCAGAGAATCGACGTTCCGCTTATATCTAAATTATTCTGTTATATTGTACCGTCTATATGTGTCATAAATATTTTGTTGTGTCGCAGCATGGCGTCGCTCCTGTCAAAGTTTCGCATTGACTACTCGGCACTTAAGATGGTGGCCGACATCACGAAACGACCACGTGACTCCACGCTCACTTATTTCGACAAGCTTATCGCGCCTTTCAGGACACATGATGACAGTAATGACGCCAGTATGTATACAATTATTGTAAATATGTTCCACTACCATGATATTCCTCCTTTCAATTACCACATTCAATTATTTTTTTCCATCCGTTTGTTATAATTACTAAACAAACTATTGGAGTTTGAACTAAACCAAGTGAAGAAAAATTTACATAGATTTCTCACAGATGGCGCTATGGCAAAATAATCGTTAAAAATCATAACAAAGATCTGCAACAAACACATGGAAAAATTCGTGAGATCCGTCGGTTCGTTCCGTGACTCAGTTAGCATAGCGTTTGGCACGGTTTGCTAGGAGACGTTGGTTCGAATCCAGCCGGATCGAAGAAATCTTTCTTTGTGTCCGTAATAATAACAAACTAGTGAAGTATTTTCACAAAAAATATAATGAATTTCTTTGTAGTAAAAACAATGATATTCAATAAAATTTATATTGTAATCTGAAGTCTGTTAACATTGTACATCTTTTGAATTTGACTTACCAATATTTACTTCGCAGCGGGCATAACAGACGCCGACTTAATAGCAGCACGTGACCGAACCTACCGCCACCTACGTCTCCGAGAACTAATCTCCGAGCACTCGTCAAACGCCCGTCTCGTGTGCGTGACGTTGCCGATGCCGCGTCGTCGCGCTGTCGTGCCCCCGCCACTCTACCACGCGTGGCTACACGCCATAGCCACCGCAGCCGATCGTGTTTTACTTGTCAGAGGGAACCATGCTGCTGTTCTTACGTTTTACTCTTGAACTTCAGTGTCGCTTTTCAACTTCTGGTACTCAATTTACCATGTATATTATGGCACCTAGAGGTACAATCGGGGATCAAAATGATCTATGCGTTCGAAGTTTCTGTAATGGTTTTATTTTATGCGAACTTTTAATTGTTTACAGATTATTTCACTTTTACTTGAAAGTGCACCATATTGTCACTGAAATAAGTGTGTTTTTATTAAATGTTTAGATTTTTTTGCACTTTTAACACTTATTACCAGTGATTAAAAAGTGCCGGAAAATACTACCGGTCTCACTGTTTACCATTTCTTTACTTTGAATACTCAATGTAGGTAACTTGTCTATCTTTCCAGAGATAGCAGTGTTTTTATGCGTTTACCTACATATTTGTATCCACTCATCTATTTATCTATTATCTTCTATTAATCTTGAATTTGTTGACACATTGAGGGGGGTTCTTTAATTTGTCATTGTAGTGATAATTTACAAAAAAAATCCTGTACTTCGATTTTGTACAATTCATACACCTGATTGTAGTTAGAGTCTCGAGGGACTGTTATATCTTATCTATAATTGTCATTACGATGATAGTTCCGCTAGGTTCCATATTGGGCCCGAAATCGCCGTATAAATGTAAAGCCCACTCAAGGAACAATTTGTACAGTCGATGCCCTAAGAAACCTGACCTCCTAACCGGTTTTGAGTAGACCAGTGTCAAGAAAGGTGTTAAACAAATTTAACCTTTAAACTGCGATCCGTAAAATTAATTTTGGTATGACTTCCTTATTGCATCATTAGTGAATGACGTTTTAAGAAACTTTTTAAGCCAACTTCATCTTTAATTATATTACGTAAATATAAATATCAACCAAAAAGCTGGAATTCCTGTACATTTTTCTGTTGAACGCCTAAGAAGGCTCTCAGAACCAAAACATCGGCTAGGTGCTCAGGTTTCTTAGGGCATCGTCGGTAATAACAACTGTACACTGAATTAACGTGCATTTATATGTACACAATACATTTGGCTTCAATTCAAATACTATTTTTATAAGAAATATTTTTACAAATTACTATATTACTAAAGTGATTGAAGTTAGCAAACGCTTAATAAGTAAAATATTATAAAATTGCATCAAGCGTTACCATAAATTACTTCATTGTAATTTCGGCTTGTGTATACATATTAATGCCCGTCATTGTACAGTATAGCTCCCTGTCTCTCTCTCTAAGTTGTGAGAGTTGTATTCTTCCTGCAGGGTTGCCGAATGACTACGATAACTCCCGAATGCAAACCGAGTGCTAAGAAAAACCGAGTAAACGAGAAGCACACAATACAAGCACTATGCTCCAAAATGCGAGCTTTGGAGTAATTCGAGTTTTACTGAAGTTGATGTGATCAATGATAATCTATTTCAATATAATGTAGAATTTGCATTACAATTCCAAAAACATTCCCTGTTGTTCCGGAAGTACAATTTTATAGTATTTTTACCAAAACGGCCTAAACAAGTGCCTCGTATACAATTTTTAAAAGTATAAAATAATTTTAGTGAATATTTTTAGATCAATTTATACGTACATTTTATATGTATGATTTTCAATGTATTTTTAATACAATCACGTTTTATAAGGCAATCGAATCTCTGGTAGATCTTTTTGTGTGAATGTAAAATATACATTTTGTTAAATATACTATGTGTGTGTGAGTAATCGTCGGTTATACAAGGTAGAATTTAAATGTATAATTGAAACTTACCACATTAAAAAATCTCATTTAATATCAAAAAGTTTTCGAAAGAATTAAGTGTAATTATCATTTAAAAAGTAATAAATTCCGCAATTTGTGTAATGTTTAGTTAATGGTTCAAATAAAATGACTCTCATTAACGTTGGTTATGAACGACTTATGTATTAATGTTTGGAAACATTTGCTGTATTCTTTTTGTGTTTGAATGGTGGTAGCTAATAATATAAGTTAAAATAAACTTCATTTTCAATTGACTTGGAAATGTCTACTTTACGTATCGCACTGCTATTACAATAGTGTTGTAACTCAAAATATGTGAAATTCAAGATTTACTATTGCTGAACGTAACATTTGATTCTCTACACGTCAATAAAACCGTCGTTAGAATATTGTAAGAAACAATTAAAAGATATCTACTTAACTCAAAATGAGACAAACTTTTTGTGAGCTAGTTCTGGACAAAACAGTCCTTATTCAGTAATAGGAAATTATTTTTTCGCTTATATTTCTAAATATATTCGGCAAGTTAGAAATTGTTTACATGTCTCTAATAAACTTTTACTTTTTTATACATAATTTTTTAAACTCTTTCACGGGAAGTGAAAAGGTAACTTTTTTCATCGATTCTGAAAAAATACCATTTTTGAGTTAATACACTATCGTATTCACAGTGCGATATGTTTGTTGAAATATCTATGGCACCGTCCAACTATACTGTAAAAATCAATGCACATCGCGCACTTTATACGACAAATTTAATATGCTTTGTGTAGTTTTAACTTAACTAGCCTTGTATACTCTGTAAGGGTTTAGTGCAAACAGCGAAAGTGACGCGGCCAACTAACCAAATGGACACATTTCACGAATTTGTAGGATGATTTCATATGTCGTCCAGTGCGTGAGCCGCCTAAATTTATATTAAATTACGGAAACAGGAATTTCTTTTTCACGAATATTAAAATAATTTTTTGCCACATTGTTTTGTTTTTACTTTTGAAGTTACCATTTTACTTTACACATACGACAATGTAATTGTACTAACAGTGATTTTACTTATTTATTTAATTTATTACAATAATTTTGTAATCGTGACGTTAGATCTGACGCCTCGTAATTTATTGCAAGTGCTAATTTTAGTTATAGACTAGACCGTAAAAGTGTAAACAAAATGAATTGTGATTAAATTATGAATTTAAATATTTTATTTTATTTTAAGATTGCTTTTTTATGTGACGAATTGACAACGTTGAATACATACAGTAGTAACGGTTATTTCTAGTAGGCCTATAATGATTTACACGCTGCGGTATACCGGAGAGGCCGCTTGTCGTAGAGTATGTGGGACTATCCGGTAAGTTATAGAGGTCTTCAGTTAATTTCGATATGGCATCGATTGAAGACGATGATGATACGATAATTCCTCAAGTATTTTCTTATTAATTGAATCAGATGTTGTAATTTTTTATTACACACTGGAGTACGATGCGAACGACGACTACAACCTATACCGATATAAACTATACCGTTACTTGGAATTAAATGGCGCGACCTGTGCAGGCGACTGTAGTACACTAACACATGTACAGGTTCACCGTACGGTATCACTCAAAATAATTTATTTTCCATCTTGTGTCGGTCGCCTGCGAAGGTACACAAAACTGCACGGGTCTGTTCTAACACACGTTCCATTCTGCCTGCACTTAGGTACACCTGCACAGGTAGACCTCTTCGGTGTACTGTAGCGTGTATAACGGGTGGCTAACCTGGGTGGCAAATCTTTCCAGTCTTTTTGGCATCATGTGTGATAGAAGGTAAAACTGGTCAAAATTTATCTTAGATGTCGCTTTGCGAGTGCCAAGTCTGGTTGTTCGTTAAATTTTATTTGTAAGAATAATATCATACACTTTTTTTGATGTTACAGCTGGCAAAAAATATATTCAATAATCAGTACGGAGTACTAAAAAAACTGACCTCAAAAGTCAATCATTCCCTGGTTTGCCACCCTTAGAGGTGGAATATTTTCCAATAAAAAGAGAACTTTCAAAATCGGTTCACAAATCGGAACGGAGTAATCGCGTAAAAAACATTAAAAAAAACATGGCCGAATCCCTCCTCGGTTTTTTGAAGTCGGTTAAAAAATATGAAGTATACATGACATTTTTCAATAAAAGGTTTTTATAAGCTGAATATTCACACTCCACACTTGCAAGAGGATACAACTGCGAAGTCAGGGCGTCAATTGCGATCTCCAGTGGTGGCTGAGTATAATTATTCCAGTCTCCTTGGTGGGTACTAATGCTAGAGGGGGACTATTGGGAATAATTGAGTCATAATGTCTGGTCATCTAATTCTGTGACTGTTTGGTCTCGTTAAGGGCTCAAACTTTATAAATTAAATTGAAGTGCGATGAAAAAAATATCGAGGTTTTAATAATAATAACGCACACACTCAACATAGCCCCGCACTAGGGAAACCCTGTGTCGCGGGTGCCATAGACACACACATAGACAACCACAAATTACACCGAAACTCAGGAGAGAAATAAATGTACGTCATACAAATATTTCGCCCGGCCCGGGAATCGAACCTGGGACCTCTGCGTGGCAGTCCGGCATGGTAACCGTTCGGCCACGGAGGCAGTTAAAAGTTTTATAAAGTCACTTTGTTCTAATTCCCAAACCAGTGGTTTCGGAACGCCCCAGATTTTTGAACAACAAAATAAACAATACGGAGAGGGACCAAGCGTTTCAAACAAAACTCACTAATTTCATGAAAATTTTCATAACTTTCAATAATAAGAAATCTGTTTGATATAACTGAATAATCTCAGTACAAAGTACTAAAAAACCGACCTCAAAAGTTCGTGGAATTACATCTACATATTTGCACAGTTTTATTGAAATCGGTTACCGGAAAGTGCGCGAAACCGGATACATCCCCTAGTTTGCCATCCTTAGAGGTGAAATATTTTCTTCAAATGTAAATGCGACCATTACCGACCGAGGTTACTCTCTTTACAACAAAAAAAGAATCGACAAAATCGGCTCACAAATTAGTTATCGCGTAACATACATACAAAAAAAAAGAAACATTCGAATTGAGAACCTCTGTTTTTGAAGCCGGTTAATAAATATCAACTTTAGTTGCTATAGGTATACACTTCGAATAATAACGCATAGAATGATAGTTTCATATCAAACGAACTGTTACAAGTGAGGCAAAAATCAAATTCATGTAGGCTAGTTTTAGTAGTAGGTTAATTTTCGGTTTTAGTGAATATTTCACTTTTTACTTACTTATAAAAATACAAGTTGAAACGCGTTACTTCCTTGTGGAATGTGATGTTAGTATCTATTTTATGTTTGTCTGACGTATTTTTACACTCATTTACCGCACATTTCGTCATTTTTAGTTAAAATTCTTGAGCTGTTCGCGGTGCAAGTTGACCTTGAGCATTGACGGCCCGCCCGCTCGTGTAGGCCCATTGGGAGCGCTTGAATTTGCCTCACTTAGCGTGTGCGGACTAGGTTTCTATGCGTTATTATTCTAAGGGTATACATATATTTTACCGATATTACTTATTTGTCATGTTGCTTATTTTTTATAAGAAAAACTAAATGATCAACAACTTATTTTTGGATTTACATAAAGTTTAAAGCAGACACATAAGCATGAAATCACAGTTCTGCGATAAATAAATAACATAAAACTTGGTGCTTTTTAATAGGTAAGTAATCTCATTAGTTGTAGCTGATAGTGCCGAAGTTACAAACAAATTTCTTGACAAATTCTAGTAGTCACTCTCTACTTATCAGTTTAATGAAAACAGATCAGAGATATTAAACATTTATAAAAGAATAAACTTATCTTCCACAACCTAAGTTTTCTTTTAAACTTATGTGTCAATTGGCGCTCTGAATACCGTTGCAATGCAAGCGAGTCTCGTTTATTGGCAAATAACTCGAGCTATTTAGGTATTCGTTTTCTAACACGTCGCCCGTGTTCAATGCAACAATTATCTTGATTGAGCCTCTCGGACACTGGACATACTGTACTACTCTGGTCAAGTCAGTCCGCTCGCGACCGCCATTTCGACTGCACGCGTTACGTTCCATTCACGAACTTTCGAAAAAAATACCGCGAAATTTTATTTTTGTCTAAACTACAACATTTTAAAAAGTGAACATTGGACTTTTATACTGTGAAGTTTAAAAAAGTTGAAACTGGGTGTTTTTGTGAAGATTGTTAAAGATAAGGGTATTTTATAGTGTCTCGATCCGGATCTAAGGGACAACAACGAGGTAAACATGTGATTGTTTTTAATTTTAATCTTACGCGCATTCACCTTTTGATGTATTTTTATGTTTACTGCAGAATTCTTAAGCTTTATTAAGGCTTACAACTGTGTTATTTGAGTAGGATTGCGAAAATACTTCGACTCTACATAAAATTATCTAATACGTACCTATTGCTTATTGGCTTATTTTGTGTTTTCCACTGTGTTTATTCACTTACCTTATGTGTAAATAATATTTATTTTCTTATGGCTATTATCATATTCCATATTCATATGGCTATTTTGTCGTTAAGAAGGTATTGAATTAATTATAGGTTTTCTTGAAATATAAAATATTAGTTATATCTTAAGAAAGATCTTATCTTTTGTCATAATTAACAAATCATTTTGTCCAAGTTTAAGTTAAGTTATACCTTTAATTTAAACTTTCAAGCCAGTGCTAATTTTAAGTAATTTATAATCGTCCGTTGAAATGTTTCATTGTTTTACGCCGAAAAATTTGCTAACTTTAAAATTTGTCTGAAATTAAATTCACATAAAAACACAGAAATGTCATTGACATAAACTTTATCCGTTTCGCCTCTTACGCTTGATTTCTAAAATTCAATTTCGAAATTCTCGATTGTACATTAAGATAAAGCAGAATTGATACAAGCACAATTTTCAAAACAAACACCTTTAGTCCTTTCGAGGTCACGTGCGGAATAGAGAGATACGAACGAGAAGAATTAAATAGACAATCATTACTTTATTATTACGCAGAAAACTTACAAACAATAGAATACAATATACGTAAAGTTAGATAATTACATTGGCCGCCTCTTCCTAAGAACCTTGGTCGTGTAGGTCGTAAGAAGCCTCATCCTGTGCCTTGCCTTCATACCCTTTAGTTCTTTTTTTTACTCTTACCTAAAGACTTTATTATCCACTTCACCTAGATTTGATATTTAATACGTTTGGAAAACTGTTATACATGTAAATGTAACCTTGTTTTTTACCCGTTGGTAACAAAATGTAAACAAAGTTCGATAAAACCCAAATGAAAAGTGAGAGCGGTTGCCGAATACAACGTAACT